GGGCAGTGTAGTTTAGCCGGGCCGTGCAGTCAAAGACCAGGCAAAGGAAACCTGGAACAGGCCTTGTGACTGAATCCTGGGAAGCTGTGGTGGTTTCCAGACTTCTCAACCCACACATACCAAAGACAACTTAGAAGGTCACTGGAAAAGGTCTGTCAGACCTGGGTGAGAGAGGAGTGGTCTAGCCCTAGCCCTAATGCAGCCCCAGCCAGCGGCTACAGCAGCAACTGTTGCTTCCAGAGCTCTCGGCCCACAGACAGTGGAGGGATTGAGCAGCTAATCAGAGAAGGATTGCAAAGATCTCTTTGCTGGTGCTGAGGCAGGGTTCTCTTGCTTTGCCTGTGCTTGGATCTGGGTTGCAGTCCTGGGGCGAGAAGGAGCGAAGGAGTGGTGGAGCTTGTGGCAGTGGAAAGGGAATCCTCCTCACAGTTCGAAGGCAAAAAAGAGTGCTTGTGGTCACTCATAGACCAGAGCACAGGCCAGGAAAGGAGTAAACACCTCTCCTTTGATCATACCACCTTGGAAGAACTGAAAATTTACAGGTCCTGAAAAGTATCTCTGGAATATAACAAAGAAATACAAGACCTACATAGTTCTTATCCTTATATCCCATAGTTATATTCCAAGAAAACAGTTACACAAAACCCCTGAAGTTTGGGACAATACACCCTCCACATTGGAAACTGAGCCCTACCTTAACGAAGAGTTAAAAAGTTAAGTAATTGGCTGGGAACATGTGCAAACAGAGGCAAAAAACTCAGACTACAGAATCTTACTTTGGTGATAAAGAAGATCAAAACATACAACCAGAAGACAACAAAGCCAAAGCTCCTACATCCAAAGCCTCCAAGAAAAAGATGAACTGGTATCAGGACATGGAAGAGCTCAGAAAAGGATTTTGAAAATCAAGTAAGAGAAGTAGAAGAAAAATTGGGAAGAGAAATAAGATTGATGCAAGAAAATCATGAAAAACAAGTCAATAGCTTGCTAAAGGAGACCCAAAAAAACACTGAAGAAAATAACGCCTTAAAAAATAGTCTAAGGAGAGATAATTTAAAAATTATTGGACTATCTGAAAGCAATGATCAAAAAAAGAGCCTAATGGGGCAGCTAAGTGGCACAGTGAATAAAGCTCTGGCCTTGGAGTCAGGAGGACCTGAGTTCAAATCCAGCCTCAGACACTTAACACTTACTACTGTGTGACCTTGGGCAAGGCACTTAACCCCATTGCCTAGCCAAAAAATATATAAATAAATAAATTTTAAAAAAAAAAAGAGCCTAGACATCATCTTTCAAGAAATTATCAAGGAAAACTGCCCTGATATTTTAGAACCAGAGGGCAAAATAGAAATGGAAGGAACCACCAATCACCTCCTAAAAGAGATCCCCAAAGGAAAACTCCTAGGAATATTATAACCAAATTCCAGAGTTTCCAGGTCAAGGAGAAAATATTGCAAGCAGTCAGAAAGAAACAAAATATTGTTGAAACACAATCAGGATAACATAAGATTTAGCAACTTCTTCATTAAGGAACTTCAGGGCTTGGAATATGATATTCCAGAGGGCAAAGGAGATAGGATTACAACCAAGAATCATCTACCCAGCTAAACTGAATATAATCCTTCAGGGGGAAAAAATGGAAATTCAATGAAATAGAGGACTTTCAAACATTCATTATGAAAACACCAGAGCTGAATAGAAAATTTGACTTTCAAATATACAAATGCAAGACTCAAGAGAAGCATGCAAAGATAAACAGGAAAGAGAAATCATAAGGGACTTATTAAGGTTGAACTGTTTACATTCCTACATGGAAAGATGGTATTTGTAACTCATGAGACCTTTGTCAATATTAGGGCAGCTGGAGAGGAAAAAATTATATGTATAGATAGATTGATAGAGGGCACAGGGTGAGTTGAAGATGAATGCGTGATATTTGGAGGATAAAATTAAGGGGTGAGAGAGGATCATACTGGAAGAAGGAGAAAGGGAGAAGTAGAATGGGGTAAATTATCTCACATAAAACATACAAGAAAAGGCTTTTACAGTGGAGGGGAAGCAGGGGAAGGTGAGAGGGAATGAGTGAATCTTATTCTCATCAGATTTGGCTTAAGGAGGGAATAACATTCACACTCAATTGGGTATGGAAAGCTATCTTACCCTACAAGAAAACAGGGGGGAAGGGGATAAGAGAGCGGGGAGATGATAGAGGGGAAGGCAGATTGGGGGAGGGGGTAATCAGAAGCAAACACTTCTGAGGAGGGACAGGGTCAAAAGAGAGAACAGAATAAATGGGGGGCAGGATAGGATGAAGGGAAATATAGTTAGTTTTCCACAGCATGACTACCATGGAAGTGTATTGCATGACTACACAAGTATAACCTGTATTGAGTTGCTTGCCTTCTCAATGAGGATGGGTGGGGAGGGAGCAAGGGAGAAAATTTGGAACCCAAAGTTTTAAAAACAAATGTTAAAAAATTGTTTTCACAGGCAACTGGGAAATAAGATATACAGGCAATGGGGTATATAGAAATCTATCCTCCCCTACAGGAAAACAGAAGAGGAAGGGGATAAGAGAAGGGGGGGACCGAGATAGAAGGGAGGGCAAATTAGGGGAAAGGGTATTCAGAATTCATGCTGTCTTGGGGTTGAGGGAGGGATGAGATGGGGAGAAAAATTGGAACTCAAAATTTTGTGGAAGTAAATGTTGAAAACTAAAAATAAATAAATGAATCTTTAAAAAAAATTTTTTTAAATAGCCTAATCCAAATGGCAAAAGAGGTCCAAAAAGCCAGTGAGGAGAAGAATGCCTTAAAAAGCAGAACTAGCCAAATGGAAAAGGAGGTCCAAAAGGTCACTTAAGAAAATAATTCCTTAAAAATTAGAATGGAGCAAATGGAAGCTAATGACTCAATGAGAAATCAAGAAATTATAAAACAAAACCAAAAGAATGAAAAAATAAAAGATAATGTGAAATATCTCATTGGAAAAACAACTGACCTGGAAAATAGTTCTAGGAGACATAATTTAAAAATTATCAGACTACTTGAAAACCATGATCAAAAAAAGCCCAGACATCATCTTCAATTATCAAGGAAAACTGCCCTGATATTCTAGAACCAGAGGGTAAAATAGAAATTGAAAGAATCCACCAATCACCTTCTGAAAGAGATCCCAAAAGGAAAACTCCTAGGAATGTTATAGTTAAATTCCAGAGTTCCCAGGTCAAGGAGAAAATATTGCAAGCAGCCAGAAAGAAACAATTCAAGTATTGTGGAAACACAATCAGGCTAACACAAAATTTAGCAGCTTCTACATTCAGGGATCAGAGGGATTGGAATATGATATTCTGGAAGTCAAAGGAGCTAGGATTAAAACCAGGAATCACCTACCTACCCAGCAAAACTTAGTATAATTCTTCAGGGGAAAAAAAATGGAAATTCAATGAAATAGAGAATTTTCAAGCATTCATTATGAAAAGACCAGAGCTGAATAGAAAATTTGACTTTCAAATACAAGACTCAAAAGAAGCATGAAAAGATAAACAGGAGAGAGAAATAATAAAGGACTTATTAAAGTTGAACTGTTTACATTCCTACATGGAAAGACATTTGTAACTCATGAGACCTTTCTCAGTATTAGGGTAGTTGGAGGGAATATATATATTATTACATATATAATATAATATTGTATTATATTATTAGGGGGCATGAATATGAAGGGATATCTAAAAAATAAAATTAAGGGGTGAGAGGATTATACTGGAAGAAGGAAAAAGGAAGAGGTAGAATGGGGTAAATTATCTCACATAAAAGAGACAAGCTTTTACATTGGAGGGAAAGAGAGGGGAGGTGAGAAGGAATAAGTGAACCTTACTCTCATCCAATTTGGCTTAAGGAGGGAATAACATACACACTCAATTGGGTTATCTATCTTACCCTACAGGAAAATAGGGCAGAAGGGGATAAGAGAGGGCAGGTTGGGGGAGGGAGTAATGAGAAGCAAACACTTTTGAAGAGGTATAGGATCAAAGGAGAGAATAGAATAAACAAAATAGGATGGAGGGAAATACAGTCTTTCACAACATGACTATTATGGAAGAGTTTTTCATGACTACACATGTATAACCTATATAGAATTTCTTGCCTTTTCAATGACGGTGAGTGGGGAGGGAGGAAGGGAGGGAATTTGGAACTCAAAGTTTTAAAAAACAAATGTTAAAATTTGGTTTTACATGCAAATGGGAACTAAGATATACAGACAAAGGGGTATAGAAATCTATACTGCCCTACAGGAAAATAGAAGGGGAAGAGGATAAGAGAAGGGGAGGGGGGGTGATAGAAGGGAGGGCAGATTGGGGAAAGGGTATTCATAATGCACTCTGTCTTGGGGTGGGGAGAGGGGAGAGACTGGGAGAAGATTTTGAACTCAAAATATTGTGGAAGTGAATGTTCAAAACTAAAAATTAATTAATTTTTAAAAAAAGAGAGATTAGCACAGTGCCTAACACATAGTAGGCTCTATATAAATGTTAGCAATTATCATTATTATTCCTTCTAGCTCTAATTCCTCATTATTATTTCTTGCTCTAATTCCTCATCATTATCATCACCTTTATTATTTTCAGTTCTAATTCCTTATTATTTCCAGCTCCAATTTCTCATCAATATTATTTCCAGCTCTAATTCTTCTTCATTATGATCATTTATTATTATCATTATCATTATTAATTTCCACCTCTAAATGCCCAGGACCTTCAATCGTCACGTGGGGGATATAAGGAACCTCTGAGAAGCTCTCAGGAGACCTTCCCAGAGGTCTCAGAGTCCCGCCCCCAGGAAGGGTGCGCCGCTTCCCCATTGGTGCCTCAGGTATTTCCTGTTCCGAAAGACACGCGACTTCTCGAATTTCTCCCCCTCTTCCCCGCCCCTACCTCATCCTGTTCCCTAGCAACTGGCGAAAGAGTCGCTTCCACCTTAGCAACGAGTGGGGACCTAACCATGGCGGAAGAAGAGGAGGAGACCGTCGCCCCGACCGAGAAAATCGTCAGGAGCCAACTAGTGTTTCTGAACCTGCTGGACACATACAGCAGCAAGAATATCGGGAAGGTGAGCGGCGGGAGGCAGCCTGGGCCCCTGCCCCCCCACGTGGCCCTCCCCCCCAGAACCGTGCACTGCCCCAGCCCAGCCTCCGACCCCAAACCTTCTAGAAAAAACACCACAACACTGACAATGTTGAAAAAGGTGGGGCGGGGAGTCATAGTCATAGACAGCAAATCAGGAGCCTGCGCCCAAACTCTGCTCTTATGATTCGGGGTAAGGGGGAATCTTGTCTCCAGGGCTTTGCCAGAGGGGTCATGGTTCTACCAAGGTTGTTGCAAAGATTTCCACTGCTGACCGGTGACACACTACTGCCCCAGGGCCAGTCTCACTGGACAGTCTTATCACCAGCAAGTTGACCCTGTAGATAATGAATTCTTTGACTATAGTAGCCCAATATATAAAAAGATTTTTGTTAATAGCCCTCAGTCCTGGACAAATCCTCCCTCCTTCCTCTACTTTTGCAGGAATGAAATTGCACAAAGGGACACAAAGGATGCTAAGAATCACAAAAGATTATCCTGCAAGCATTAACTTACTAGTTGGTGCTCCAAATGTGAAATCATTGCCCAGTCACCACAAACTGACCCTAGGTGAAGGCATTCAGTGTTTTGAGCTGATCTTCTATGGAGGATTTATGGAAGGACATGAAGAGGAGTCATACAGAATAAGAAACCATGAGATTTGTCAAGTATGGAAGTACTTAGTATATGACTACATAGTATATAGGTGCCAGTTGAACCCACAAGTTCCTGGCTTCAGGGCCAACTGTCTGTTCACTATGCGACATAGTACATTTAAAGAAATTAATGCTTGTTGAAATTAATTGCACCCTGCTAGGCTCTATAGGACATACAAAGTTTAGATGAGATATGACCCTGTTCTATATGCCATGGAGCTTGCAGCTTAGTAGAGAGGGATAATATAATATGCATATACAAAAAAAGTAAATGCATGAGAGGTGCAAGAAAAATACAGTGATAAGTCCAAGGGAGGAAAGGTCATTACTACCTGAGGGATCATCCCTATACTCAACTCCAATGGCTTCCTGTCACCTCCAGGATCAAATATAAAATCTTCTGTTTGGCATTCAAACCCCTTCAAAAACAACCTCCCATACCTCTTTACCACCTCCCCCCACTTCTCCATGCAACATATACCTCCCTGCCCCATGTACACTTTGATCAAGTGAAAATTGCCTTGCTGTTCTATGAACAAATTTTCTAGGGCTGTCTCTTAAGCCTGGAATGCTGTCTTTCCTCATCTCCACTTCCTGGCTTCCTTCAAGTTCCAGCTAAAATTGTAGCTTCTACAGGAAGTGTTTTCCACCTCCTTTTAATTCTTGTGCCTTCCCTCTGTTAATTGTTTCTTATTTATCCTATATATAGCGTGTTGGTACATATTTGTTTGCTTGCTGTCTCCCCCATTAGATTATGAGGTCCTTGAGGGTAGGGTCAGTGTTTTGCCTTTCTTTGTATCTCCAGCATTTAGCAACTCAGAAGGTGCTTAATAAATGTTTATTGATTGACTGATTATTAATTAGCTCCTTATCATCAAATCTCATCTTTTTTTTTCTCTTTTCTTCTCTGACTTCTCTGTAGCAGTTAGCACCATGGAATCTCCTCCTCCTTCATATTCTCTCTTCCCTTAGATTTTTGGCACATGTTTTTTTTCATATCTCCTGTTCTTTCTCTGTCTCCTTTGCCAGCTTAGTATCTTCTTTATACTTTAAAAAAATGTGTGTTTCCCAAGGTTCTGTACTAAGGCCTTTTCTTTTCACTCTCCTATAAGTGACTTCATCCACTACTTTGGTTCCAATTATCACCTCTATGCAGATGATTCCTACATCTGTATCTTTACTCCAAACCTTTCTCCATAGTTCACTACCATTGGACAGCTTCTTGGATCACTCACCAAGGGACTTCAAATTCCATAATTTATCCTTATCTCCCCTCAAACCTGTACTTCCTGCTACCATCTTTGTCTCTCTTAGTAGAATAATCATTTTCCTGGGCATTCACACTTGAAATTTCATTTATTTGTGGCTCTTCCTTACTGTCAATTCCATATCTTTCTCATTTGGCACCTCTTCTCAACTCTCACAGAATACATCCTTAGTTCTCACCCAGCCTATTAGCCTCCTAACCAGTCTTCTATCTCCAGTCTATTCTATCCCCTCTCCAATTCCTCACCACTGTCTCAATAATCTTCTTAATGCACCCCTCTTTTCATGTCGCTTCTCTACACAAAAACCTTCAGCTATTCCCCATCATTTGCAAAATAAAGTTGAATATCCTGGCCTTGCAAGACATTTAAGTCCTCCCTCAATTTCCCTTTATCTTATCTAAACATTATCCCTTATGTTCCCACCCCAAACTCTTCCCAGAGCTTATTTCCAAATGTCTCTTTTAACCAAACTGTACTACTCTGTGTCTTTGGATCTTCTTCAGTCTTTTCTTGTCTCCATGTCTTTACTTGTGTAGTCTTCCAGTTAGAATAAGCCTATTTCTGTCTGTTGAAATCTCTCCCTTTCTTCAAGTCCCAGGTAAATGAACCTTTTCCATGAAGCCTTCCTTAGCTCTTTAGCCGAAAGTGACATATCCCTCTTCAAAATTTTCACTTTGCCTGACTCTTCCTTTGTTCTTGTCACATTCTACCTCTTATCATATTCATCTATGTATGACTTGTCTTCCCCATGAGATTATAAAATCCTTGAGATAATTTTTTACTTTTGTATTCCCAACTCCTAGAACATAATTTAGTACTTAAATGAACCCGTGATCTCAATGATGTGGGTACTACCTCCTTAACCAGACAAATCCTTACCTCTCCACATCATCTCAGAAGCAGCTGGTGTCCCACTTCGTAGGATGCTGGGCCTGGAGTCAGAAAGACCTGAGTTCAAATCTTGTTTCAGATACTTGATAGCTGTGTGACCCAGGGCAGTTCACTTAACCCCTGTTTGCTTCAGTTTCTTATAAAATGCAGATAATAATAGCACCAATCTCCTAGAGTTGTTGTAAGGATCAAATGAGATAATATTTGTAAATCAGCACTTAGCACACTGCCTAGGATATAGTAGGTGCTAAAAAAAACTTCTTTAATTAGAAAAAATAAAATATTTAAATAAGATTTTAAAAATTAATGCAAAAAAATGGTTCTTTTTTTTCCCTTCCACATTTCCCCTGTCATCTTGCCTTGTGCAGCTTTTGTCAATATCATAGTGTACTGGAGGGATTTCCTTAGGTCTGTTAATACTATATAGGTGCCAAATTTAGTACACAGGTTGCCCATCTGTTATTATTCCTTGCTGCTGATACATATTTTTTGATCATACGTTTCCCAGATATCTTTTATACCACTTTCTTTTTTTTGCATATAAGTCAAAATTGGTAATATGCTTTAACCTATTTTTGTCTATCATATATCTTTTCCATTGCCCTTTAGATTCCTCACAATTTTCATTGAGGATGTTCTTGATATGCATTTAGATAAATTTCAAAGATTTTTATAGAATTGAAAGGGTAATGGTAAGTAGCTATCAACATCCTCTCACTTGCCTTTTTAAAATAGAAATACCATCCATGATTTTTCTCAATCACTCAGTATCTTCTTCTCTTTCAAATGTCTTTAGAATCTTTGTCTCAATGCTCTCACGGTAGGGGGCAGCTAGGTGGCGAAGTGGATAGAGCACTGGCCCTGGATTCAGGAGGACCTGAGTTCAAATGCGGCCTCAGACACATAATACTCACTAGCTGCGTGACCCTGGGCAAGTCACTTAACCCCATTGCCTAGTCAAAAAAAAAAAAAAACAAAAAAAAAAAACAATGCTGTCACGATTGTGCAAGCTCCTAAATGTATTTCCTCTGTGTGTGCTTCATCTGGCCCAGCTTCTCTTATATTCATTCCTTCATATAGCCAAGGATTGACTCCAAATGTGGTGGTTCCATTGTCATTAGTGAAGAAAATAGTTTGTTATGGAAATTCTATAAAGCCTGTCCTATTTTTTAATCTGTTGTCCTGCCAGTTTCATCTATAAATGCTTTGAAGATCATGGAATCACAGAATTTTAGAAGTGAAAGGGAACTCAGTAACCATCCAGTCCAACTCCTACCTGCCTAAAAAGGAACTTCCACATCTGCACATCTGACCATCTAGCCTCTACTTAAAGACCTCCAATGAGAAGGAACCAGTTACCTCCACAGGCAACCTATTCTACTTATGGATAGCCCTAATTGTCAGCCCTAAATTTGCCTCTTTATTTTATTCTTCCCATTACTCCCAGTTTCCTTCTGGGATAAAAAAAAAAGTTGAGTTTAGTCACTTTTCCACACCAACCCTTCAAGTACTTGAACAGAGTTATCATGCCCCCCCATCTTTTTTTCTCCAGACTAACTATCCCCTATTCTTCCAGCTGTTCCTCCTATGGTTTGAATTCAAAGCCCTTCACCATTTTAGTTGCATTTGTCTAGAAGCCTGTTAGCTTTTCATGTCCTTCCCAAACTGAGGAGCTCACAGCTGAACAGATGTGGTATGAGTGAGAGCAGAGTAGAACTATCACCTTATTGCAGGAAGCTGTGACTTTCTTAATGCAGCCCAAGTTCACATTTACTTTTTTGGCTGGGCTCTCTGGTCATTAAAAGCCTCAGATCTTTTTCAGACGAATTGCTATCTTATCTTACCTCTTCCACCTTATACTTGTGAGGCTGATTTTTAAAATCTAAAATATAAGACTTTATATTATTCCTGTTGAATTTCATCTCTTCTCAAAGTTAGCCTAATGCTCTAAGCCAATAATATTCAATTTTTTTTTGATCATGCACCCCTTTCAGTAACAAATTCTTGAGCAAGCACCCCCAATATATGTATACTTACTTATTTTTAATTAGTGCATGTACCACTCTACTAATAATTATACATGTTATAAAATTTACACAGAAATAGATATTGGAAAAGGATGAGATAAAGGTGAAATAATATTTGATCCTGGAGTCTGATAGAGCCACTGTAATTTACTGAGTAAGGAAGTGATTAGACAAGACCTACATTTTGAGAAAATCACTATATGGAGTTTGGATTGGAGAGGGGAGAGACTTGAGGCTAGTGGACCAGTCATGGGACTATTTCTGTTATTTAGGAAAGAGATGATGAGAACATGAGTTATGGAAGTAGTTGTATGAGTGGAGAGATGGAGCCCGATGCAAGAGATGTTGGGAAGGTAGGGAGGCAGAGAGAGTAAACGCTTCTTGGGTGCTTAATATGTCCCTGCCACTGTGCTAAGGTCTGGGGATACAAATACAGACAAACAAGATACTTCCTGCTGCTGTTCTAATGGAGGAAGACAACACATAAAATAGAGCTGGAGAGTTGTATTCGGCAGGGTGGGGGGGGGAGAAAGTGGATGTGTGAGGAAGAGTAAAGAATCAAATATAATGCCAAGGCTCTAAACCTGAGAGACTGGAAGCTTATTGGTTGGTCTCTTTGATACAGATGGGGAGTTTGGAAGAGGGGAGAGTTGGGGAGGAGATGGAATATTTGAGTTCAATTTTAGATGTATTTGAGATGTGCCTGGGACATCCCATTTTAAATGTCCAATAGACAATAAGCACTGCAAAACAGATAAGCAAATATCTTATGAAATGCTGTTTTTGCCAACTTCTTTATTTAATTCTACAAAGATTGTCATCCTTCCATATAGCTACAATGTCTTTGTGTCTTCTAGTTTTATTTATAGCATGAATGTTAATATTATTGTGGTTCAGTTCCTTCAATAGTATGACAGTTCATTACTTGTAGATGAGGGTCTCATGTTAAGAATATTAACAGTTAAATGAATATTTATAGATGAATTCAAAACTAAGATTCTTCACACTCTTCCCCTACTCTACCACTATAACCACAGTTGGTGAAAATGGATGCACAGGACTGAGGGCTAATTTGTTTCATGGTTTGCCATGGCCAAAGAATTCATCACCTGGTAACAAGCCCACTGGTAGAGAGAGTAGGATCTTCCTTGGCAAGCAGGCAGTAGTCTCTCATTTGTACAGTGCTCAAAGCCAGTACTCCAGTAGAGTGTAGAGGCAAGAAGATTTGGTCTGGAGTTGGGATACTTGGGCTCTAGGCCCAACTTAGCTGCTTATCCAACTATGAAACCTTAGGTAGATCACACTACCTGCCTCTCAGGTTTTCAGTTTCCTCTTCTATAAAAAGATGGGTTTGGACTGAATGATATCTAAGGGCCCTTCCAGTTCTAAGATTTGGAAGAAGGAAGAAGTCAGGTGAAGATAAAAATATATTGTTAAATCCTGGTACAAGATAGACTATGATAAGTGCAATAAAGGAGGTACAGATTACACTAATCATTTAACATAGAATATTTAAAGTATCACAGTAACACATATTTTCTGTGTGAACTTGGGCAAATCACTTAACCTCTCAGGGTTCACAGTCAATCAACAGCTTTTATTAAATGCCTACCATGTGCCAAGGCACGAGGGTCTAAGATTGTAAATTGCAGATTAGTTGTTGACCTGCATCAAATGTCCCACACTGATAAAGTAACAAGTTCTGATCTCCATCACCCTCTTCCTTCTATGCCTCCCTCAAAAAAAAAAAAGACTATATCACAGGGGAGCAAGTTCTCTCTATAAATTGTTATTTGTACTTGGAATAGTTTCTGGTTTTCTTGTAGTACTTATCTAACTGTATGGTTGGGGCTTCACTTGAAGAAATAACAGAAGAAGAAGAAGAAGATGTTGAAAGCAAATCAGCTGGCCTAGAAGGCTCAGCAGCTAAATCAAAGGAAGGCACTTTTCAGATAGTAGGAACCCTTTCCAGTCCCGAATGCATGCCTCCCAAATTTGCCATGGAAACATACTCAGTAAGTATGGGTTATTTTGTCAAGGCTGGGGAAAAGGAAATATATTAATGTCCTTATGCACACCTTTGCAATAGGCTACTCTTCACTTTGCATGCTCTCTTGTTGATAAAAGCAGGGGAAAAAATCAGATCTACTTGGACTGTGGCTAATAAACCATCTCCATTTTAAAGGTGAAGAGGTCATTACAAGCTAAATGATTAAATTATGGAAAGAAGGACATGTTATATCTGGGATTCAGACTCAAATTCCTTGTCCTTTAGCCTGTGCTTTTAGCATAGTCTATTCTAATTATTCAAAACTGTTATTTCCCAACTTAAAAACTTATTAAAACCTAAAAAGTTAAAACTTATCAAAAATTTTTTAAAGTATGTAAAAATAAAGGATCTTGTAATTTTAAGAAATGGGACAGGCCTATAGAGGGAATATTTGTAGGCAGGAAGGCCTTCCCAGCACCCTTAAAATATACAATAGGCAATAACACACTCAGTCAATACGTAAGTAAAAGGAAAACAACTTTCAGAGTTTCAGAGTTCTGATCAACATAGTGACCAGTCATGACTAATGATGAGGCATGCCTCCTTCCTTGGGCAGAGGTGATGGAATGAGCTGCAGAATGAGACATACAACTCCAACAGAGCAATTATATTGATTTATTTTGTTTGACTATACTTACTTGTTAAAAGGGAAGACTTCAGTTGTTCATAGATTTTAGTGGGAAGTGATGGAAAATAAAACAAAGAAAAGAGCATGAGTAAAGCATTTAAATACACAGAAGGAAAAACAGTTCAAAACAGGGCACAGACAGAGAAACTTTAGTGTTACTGTGTTAAGCCTGATTTGCAGTTTTAAAAAACTAACTACATTAGGGGTAGCTAGGTGGCGCAGTGGATAGAGCTCTAACCTTGGAGTTAAGAGAACCTGAGTTCAAATGCGCCCTCAGACACTTGACACTTAAGAGCTGTGTGACCCTGGGCAAGTCACTTAACCCCGATTGCCTCACAAAAAACAAACAAACAAAAAAACTAACTACATAATAGACGGTCCTGGTTTCATATACAAGTCTCTTGATTATTAAGTTCATAATAAAATTTTTTTTTTAAAAAAGACTGTGTTATGATAAAAAAAAGAACACTAAACTGTGAGTCAGGAGCTCACGGTTCTAGTCCTGCTTCTGCTACTTTACTATTCGGGCTGCAGTTTCTTCACTTGTAAAATGAGGGGCTTGGATTAGATGATACCCCATAATAATGCTAGCCAGGAATGTGATGCCTCAGTTATGATATTCAATTTAGCAACAATCCTTCCTCATTATTAGTAATTCTACTTAGTCCTTCCCTTCAGGAATTTTCCACTCTCCAACAAAAATAATGGTTTTTGATGAAGTTTATTACTTACTCTATGTTCATATTTTCCATGAAAATAAGTAGATCTTTTCTTCCATACTTGGAAAAGATGTTATCCCATTGAAGCAAGTATTCTTTCCTCTGATAAAGCTATTTCTTTCCAAAGAGAATTTACCCAACACCCTGGCAGTCTTCTAATTCCTTTAAACTTACTTGCATGCTATTGTAGCCTTGCCTCTCTCTTTAAAGTTAGACATAAGCTCTCATTAAAGACTTCATCAAAAGACTTCATTGAGACATAAAAAGACTTCATTAAAGATATGAAAAGACTGTTAAAATTCATCAGTAATTTAACAATTATATTGGATTTTTATTACATTTCATTAGATATTTCATCTTATGTTCTTTTACCATAATAAAGATTATCCCTTTCTTTCATGTGCCCTTTCATGTGCCCATTTTTAGAAGATTATAGGAGGTCATGAAAGATCTTAGTGATCTTACTCCCTACATTTTACAGATGAAGACACTGAGATTCAACCAAATTAAGTGGTTTGGTGACTTGCTCAAGGTCATAAGACTTGTAAGAGGGATAGCTAGAACTTAAACTCATGTCCCCTTAATGCTAGACCTACTGTTCTTTCCACTTCTGCATGCTCTCTGCCTTTTTTTAACCTTTTCATGCATATTTCTTTGCCCTAAACAAGTCACAGATTCACTTAGGGATTTTTAACCTGGGGTCTATAAGTTTATTCTTAAAAATATTTTTATTTTATTGCAATTTAATTTGTTTCCTTTGTAATCTTATATATTTTTATAAATTTAAAAACATTACTATGAGAAGGGGTCCACAGGCTTCACTTTACTGTCAAAGGGGTCTATGACACACAAAGAAGTTATGAATCCCTGACCTAGGTAATGTCCCTTTTCTTCATGTTTTGACAGGCAAAATCCAAATGGGATGACCATTTTAGGTACTTTTTTTTTTCCTATTGGCTATTTCAGTTTGGAAATGAAATTAAATAGCTAAAGGCAAGAGTAAAATTACAAGGGTAAAGTAGTAGAATTCTTTGAGAATATTCTATATTTCCTTCATGTACCCTAATAAAATTGCATGATTATATAGATTTTGAGCTGAAATAATCTTCCTTAATCTTCAGAGCACTGGGGAAACATTTAGCCATCACTCAGACTTATGGTGGGAGCAGGAAAAGAAAAACCTATTTTTAAAATTTGAATACAGGGCAGCTAGGTTACAAAAGATTTTCCAGTTGCAAAGATTTTTTAAAAAAATAGTCATCAAAGCCTACCAACACATCACATCAAACATATTTGATAGCATATGGAACATTCCATACCCCTTTTCCCCACCCCAGTGAAAGGAGGGAGGTGTCTTTCCTCTTCTCTTCTCCTAGGCCAGGCTTGGACCTAATTACGTAATGGTCAGGGTTTGTTTGTTTTTTTCTTTCTTTATACATTGTTTTAGCCATCATATATATTGTTTTCCTGATTCAGTTTACTTCACTCTGTATCAATTCATATGTCTTCTTATGTTTCTCTGAATTCCTCATATTTCTCATTTCTTCTAGCACTGTTATTTTAATTTATCCCAGTTGTTTAGGCATTGCACACTGATGGATATATATTTTGTTTCTAATTATTTACTATCACAAAAAGTGTGAATATGGTATGTATAGTACTTTCTGTCTTTGGGGTATAGGCTCACCAGAAGGCACTCTGGATCAAAGTATATCAACATTTTGGCCCCCTTTTTTTCTTTCATAATTCCAAATTGTTTTCTAGAATCATTAAGGTATCTTATAGCTTTGCCAACAATATATTAGAGTAACTAACTTCCTACAACCTCTCATACACTGATGATTTTACATTTTTTGGGTTGTCTTTGTCAATTTGCTAGATGTGAGGTGAAATTTCAGAGTTGTTTTAACTTGTATTTCTCTCGTTAGTTATTTGGATCAGTCTCGTGGTTGAGTTTGAAATTTTTTTTTTTTTATTGTTTATACCCTTTGACTACTTATTCGTTGGGGAATGGCTCTTGTTCTTATGTACAGTGTGTCCCAATAGTCTTAGTGCAGTTTAAACTTAAGGCTTAATGTGTTAATTCCCTGAATATCTTAGATATCAGACCTTTATCAGAGATACTTAATACAAATAATTTCTTCCCATTCATAGTTTCATTTGTCCTAACTGCATTGAATTTTGTTCATGTAAAAGCTTTTAAATTTCATAGAATCAAATTATTTATTTTATTTTTTGTTATCTCCTTTGTGTTATTCTCTAGTTAGTTAATTATATTCCTAGCTATAATTGTGACATGTATCTCTATCTATTTTCCTCCATTTAAAAAATTATGTGACGTATTATTTTTAGGTCACTTATCCATTTGGAATTTACTACTATGGTATATGTTATATGATGTTAGACCAAACCTATTTTAGCCTCAATTCCTTTTAAAGTTACCTTAATACTTTAATAGCAAAGAGAGTATTGTCTTATTGTGGAAGGTATTGGTATTATAGAAGAAGAATCCAAGCAATATAGACCATCCAATTAAAACAGAACAGATGAATATACATTTTAGGCATTCTTGAATGAACTAGCAGAGGTTACCAAAGTGGATAATACTGGCCCCTTGGGGGGGGGGACACTGGACCAATGCGGGGAGGGGGAAAGGGGGAGGCCACAGGTGTAATTGGAGGGCATTGAATAAAAGTGAGGGGGTGGTGGAAGCATAAGGAAAAAAGAGAAGAGAAGAAAAATTTGAAAAACTGTTCGTACATGTTTTATCTGTTATGTAACAGAGTTAAAGTCATAGTGATTACATTATTTTCCAAATAAACACACAAAATGCAAGTTATAACCAACCAGTGGTCAAGTCCACCAACAAATGTTGGTGGGAGAGTGTGTCCTGCATTGTTGGGAAGTCCAGCATGCATCAGCAGGAATATATGCACGTAATGACTTGTTTACAGTAAGATACTACATGGTTATATCATGTAAAATTGCATCATCAATTCAGGAAAAAACCCCATAAATTTATAATAAATTATTAAATTTAAGATGTGTCATTTAAAAAATATTTTAATGACACAAATTTCAAATAAAAACCATTAAAAGATTAAAGAAAGTAGATTTCCAGGGGGGCACTGAGTAATTTTCTTTAAAGGGGGCAGTAGGCCAAATAAGATTGGGAACCTCAACTAGAATCTGGCTAAAATAATGCTGAATAAATTTAGAGATAGTTTTAAATGGCGTGCATTTTCTTCCACTATTTTCTAATATCTTCCTTCTGAATTTGAATTTAAACATAACATAAAGAAGTCAACTTAAAATCAACTCATATTTATACTAAAAGCTATTTTGTCTTGTGCTAATTACCTAAACTATTTTCCTAAACGTCTTTGTCCCATCAAAACACCATATGATATTAATAGAAGTATAATTTTTACTAGAAATTGCTTTGTGGATATATTTCATATGGCCTTGTACTATAGTAGTAATTTAGAAACCTTAATTTAACCTAAATATTTTATGACTGTTCTGTTCACTTCTTGCTACAAATAACTGAGTGACAGTTTGGTGGTCTTTTCCCTTCAGAACCTTTCCCGAGAAGAACTGCTGTTGCACCTGCTTGAATGTGATATTATCATTTATAACATCACAGAAAACATACCACAAGTTGATGAAGCTATGTGGGCTGTTTCTGGTCAGTGAAGTGTTTTCTTTCATCAATACTAACAAAAATCACGTATATTGTATTTGGCCTGATAAGGGCCTAAGTCAACACTTTGTAAATCAGGGTCATAAAAGAAGTGATCTAGATTGTTCTAAAACTCTAAATTGAATACTCGTTAAAGTATCTCTGTGTATGTACTTCACACGGACAGGAAATTTTTGATCATCAAAACAAATATAAGATAAACCTTTAAAATTCATTAGAAAACATAATTTCAGGAAATGCTAAATTCATTATTAATAGAACAGGTTAGTGTTTAGTACTTAGCTGTGTTGCTGATTTAACCTTAAAAAACAGAATAGACCAAATGGTAAAAGAGGCTAAAAAATTCACTGAAGAAAATAATTCCTTAAAAATTAGAATTGTAGGGGGCAGCGAGGTGGCATAGTAGATAGAGCACTGGCCCTGAAGTCAGGAAGACCTGAGTTCAAATCTGACCTCAGACCAAACTCTTGACACTCACTAGCTGTGTGACCCTGGGCAAGTCACTTAACACCAATTGCCTCACCAAAAAAATTAATTAATTAATTAATTAAATAAAGATGAAATAAAATAAAAATTAGAATTGTGCAGGTGGAAGCTAATGACTATGAGACATTGAGAAACAAGAAAACAAAATCAAAAAAATGAAAAAAATAGAAGAAAATGTGAAATATCTCATTGGAAAAACAACTAACCTGGAAAGCAGATCCAGGAGAGATAATTTTAAAATTATCAAACTACCTGAAAGCCATGATCACAAAAAGAGCCTGGACTTCATCTTTCAAGAAATTTTCAAAGAAAACTGCACTGGTGTCCTAGAACCAGAGGGTAAAATAGAAAGTGAAAGAATTCACCTATCACTTCTTGAAAGAGATCCCAAAATGAAAACTCCCAGGAATATTATAGCCAAATTCCAGAGCTCCTTGGTGAAGGAGAAAGTATTGCAAGCAGCCAGAAAAACAGTTCAAGTGTTGTGGAAACCCAGTCAGGATAATACAAGATTTAGCAGCTTCTACATTAAGGGATCAGAGGGCTTGGAATATGATATTCTGGAGGTCAAAGGAGTTAGGATTACAACCGAGAATCACTTACCCACCAAAACTGAGTAAAATTCTTCAGGTGAAAAAATAAACATTTAATGAAATAGAGGGTTTTTAAGCATTCCTGATGAAAAGACAAGAGCTGACTAGAAAATTTGACTTTCAAATACAAAACTCAAAAGAAGCATGAAAAGATAAACAGGAAAGAGAAATAATAAAGGACTTATTAAAGTTGAACTGTTTCCATTCCTACATGGAACGTCACCAGTGAAATTTAACAAAAAGGTAAACTGAGACACATTTCTCCAAGCAAGGTATCATTTTATTAAGAAGGGCATGCTACCTGCCAGTAAAAGGGTCAGTGGCTACCTCAGTTTCCAGCCAAAGGCCCCAAACAAAAGAACAGCTCCCCTTTTATAGGTTTTGGGGAGTTCAGAACAAAGAACAGAACAGGGTAGGTGACATTATGTTGTTGAGGGAAACATGATTGATTACATAGTTGAGGCATGAGGAACAATATTATTTGTTGGAAGTTGCGAATGGCAGTTAGCAATTACCTTCCTCCTTCTGTCCTGTGACTAAGATGTGTTCATTGTTTGAGTCTGCCTGAAAGATAGTGGCCCAGAAATCCTTGAAGGATAGCTTGGTGGTGTAAAGATATTAAGCCTGACTTCTGCATCCCCCAAAATTAACAGAATTCCTTGAGGCAAGAATAGAACAGTTAGTAATTAGCAAGAAAACTAGATTTCTAAACTTGACTCATTACAGGTCAGCTGAATTCTGAACTGAATTCAGAGACAGAGAACCATGATTTAAGCAGTTACAGGACAAAATCAATTAGTTGTAAGTAGGATCAATAGAAAAAAAGTTATAGAATCAATTTTAATCTTCTCAGGAAATTGATACTTGTAACTTCTAAGAACTTTATCATTATTAGGGCACTTAGAAGTAGTATACATAGACAGAGGTCCTGGATGTGAGTCGACCATGATGATATCTAAAAAAGTAAAAGTAAGGGGCGAGAAAGGGGGATGACTATGATGGGATGAAAACTAAAACAATAAGAGGTAAGAAAAAGGGATACACTGGGAGAAAAGGGAAGGGAAAGGTAGAATGAGGTAAATTATCTCATATGAAAGAGGTGCAGAAGAACTTCTACAGTGGAGGAAAGATAGGGAGATGGGGGACCAAACTTGAACCTTACTTCCATTGGAATTGGCTCAAAGAGGGAAGAACATACACACTTAGTTGAGTATAGAAATCTATCTTACCCTACAGGCAGTGGGAGGGGAAGGGGATGAGAGAATGAAAGGAAGGGGCTGATAAAAGGGAAGGTGGATTGGAGGAGGCAGTGGTTAAAAGCAAAATACTTTTGAGGAGGGACAAGGTGAAGAGAAAAAGAAGAAGAAATGGGAAAAATAGGATAGAGGGAAATATATAGTAATTGTGAAATTTATTTTTTTAAGTTTCTCTGATAAAGGCTTCATCTCTCAAATATATCAAGAACTGAGTCAGGTTTGTAAGAGTACAAGTCAGTTCCCAAATGACTAATGGTCAAAGAATATGAAAGGCAGTTTTCAGATAAAGTAATAAAAACTATCTATAGTCATATGAAAAACTTCTCAAAATCACCATTGATTAGAGAAATGCAAGTTAAAACAACTCTGAGGTACCACCTCACATCTCTCAGATTGGCTAGTGTGAAGACAAGGAAAATGATAATTGTAAGAGAGGATGTGGGAAACTGGGACACTAATGCAGTGTTGGTGGAGGTGTGAACTGATCCACCCATTCTAGAAAGCAATTTGAAACTGTATGCCCAAAGAGCTAAAAAATTGTACATACCCTTTGACCAAGCAATGCCACTCCTACATCTGTATCCCAAAGAGGTTTAAAAAAAAAAAAGGAAAAGTACCTATAGGTACAAAAACATTGATAACAGCTTTGTGTGTGTGTGTGTGTGTGTTGGCAGAGAATTGGAAATTAAGGGAATATCCATTAATTGGGGAATGGCTGAACAGATTGTGGTATGTGATTGTGATGGAACACTACTGTGCTATAAGAAATTGACAAGCAGGATGCTTTCAGAAAAACCTGGAAAGATTTACATGAAACGATGCAAAATGAAGTGAACAGAGCTAGAACAGTGTAACAGCAATATTGTACAGATGATCAACTGTGAATGGAAGCTATTCTCAGCAGTGCAATGATCCAAGACAGTTCTGAAGGACTAATGATGAAAAATGCTATCTACTTCCAGAGAAAGAACTGATGGAGTCTGAATGTGGATCAAAGCATACTTTTTTTTTACTTTATTTTTTTTTAATTTTGTTGTTTCTTTCATAACATGACTAATATGAAATATGTTTTACATGACTGCACATGTATAACATATATCAAATTGCTTGCTTTCTCAACAAGAAGGGAGAGGAGGCAGAGAGGGAGAGAATTTGGAAGTCAAAATTTTAAAAAAAGAATGTTAAAAATTGTTTTTACATGTAATTGAAAAAATATTTAAATAAAAAAGTTAATAGATCTGAAAATCTGTATAGAGATGATAAATGATCCATAGGGGCTTATAAGATCACGAAGTGATATAGTATAGAGGGAAAAGAGACAAGGGCCTAGGACAGAGCCTTAGGGGATACCCATGGTTAATGGATACAACCTGGTTGAAGATCTAGGGAAGATGACTTAGAAAAGGAGCGTTGAGACAGGAGGAGAACCAGGAGGAAGGAGTGTTGTAAAAACCTAGAGAAGAGAGAGTATACAGGAGGGGAGGTTTATTGACAGTGTCAGAAGCTGCAGAGAGGTTAAAAAGGACGAGGACTAATAAAAGGCCATTAGATCAATGGTAACTTTGGAGACAGCGGTTTCAATTGATTGATGAGGTCGGAAGCCAGACTGCAGAGTGTGAGAGGAAAGGAAGTGGAGGTAGTGACTATAGATGCCTTGTCAAGGACTTTGGCCATGAAAAGGAGGAGAGATATAGGATAATAGATAGTGGGAATGGATGGATCAAGTAAGGAGTTTTTTAAGGATAGTGACACATTGGTATGTCTGAAGAGAGCAGGGAAGCTGCCAGTAGACAGGAAGAGACTGAAGATTGGTAAGAGAGTAGGGATGATAAAAGGGGCAATCTGCTAGAGAAGACAGATGGAATGAGATCACTGAATATGTAGGAGGGTTCTTCCCTTGGCAAGAAGGGCTTCCTTTTCATGTGAAACAGATTTAACAACAATAGCTGCAAATAATTGTACATAAAATGTGCTTAAAATAAATCATATCTCTCTCCTTCTTTCTCTCTCTTTCTCTCTTTCCCTCTCTCTCCCCCTCTTTCTCTCTCGCTCTCTCACTCTCGCTCTCGGCATTACAGCACTAAGAGAAGAAACAAGCCATTTTGAAAAACGAAAGATATTTATCTTACTATCAACAATGATGACCTGGGCACGATCCAAACCCCTTGACCCTGTAAGTAACAAAGCTTCATTTTATCATCCATCTATCCATTCATCTTTTTATCCAGTCACCCATTATTTTAACAAGCATTTATTAAATGTTACCCATGTCAAGGTCCAATGTAAATGCTAAAGGTGTTAGAAAAAATAAATAAGACTTGATCCCTACCCTGTAGTTTAATAAGACAGAGGAGCCATGTAGATAAATATCTATAAAGTAAAATAGAATCTGTGTACAAGAGAGGCATAAGAAAATGCTATGAGACCTGAGGGTCAGAAATAATGTGCCAAATCATTGTAACTACTTTGTGTGGAATTTTCTTGCACATGATATTTATTTCTTTGAAGTTCTTATTTATTTGAAACATTCTAAAGATGGTTTGTTGCACCAAATTTTCTCAGAGCCTAAATTACACTCTAGACATTTATGTACTTTTGAAAGCTTCTTTAAAATTCTTCCAGGTTTTTAAAAATAAACTTTTCTGCATTGAAGGATTAATTTACAGTAGGGATTTTCTTAAGCACTTGAGAGAATTTTCTTCAATAATTTTTGAACCTGGATTGAATACAATGCATGAGATTGCAAGCTTTCTTGTTGAATAAATAAAAGTACAGTGCTGTTTTCTCTATATTTCTTTGCTAGTATAACTGTTTTATTCTCTTTTTGCAGCCTAGTATATATTCAGTACATGACTTTGAACTTGTCTGTGTATTTATTGTGTAAGTGTTTTTAATGCTCTTTTAAAGTATATTTATCCTGTCCTCTCTATTTGATTAAAAATTCCTCAAGCCTCATACTATCTTTCTGTATCCTCCCATAGGCCATATTAGAATATTTATTGAGGACTCAAGAAATGGATTGGCTGGCTGGCTGACTGAGGGAAACTAACCATCCTTGTTTTTAAAAAGCTGATTTTTAGTGTATTCTTTTCCATGCCATCCTTGGATCTGTAGCATCTCCAAGGTTTCGTACTTTGAAATTTTATCTCCCACAAAAATCTCCTGTCACCTTTCCCACATAATCTCCCATTAAACCTATACTTTTCCTTCAAAGTTATGGTATAAAAACTCAACTGGGCCCAAACTACTATTCAGCAATCCTAGTTTCCTCTTATTATCACAAGTAGTAATATCAGAACTGGGATTTGAACTCAAGACCTTTTTAATACAAATCTACTGCTCTTTCCACTATACCACACAGACTCCTTTCAAAAGAACTTCCATCAACTCCCTTCATTCCCCAGAATTTCTTTATGTCATCACACCTTCTCTATTCTTTTCCTCATATCTAAAATGAAAAGATATCCCTATTCTCTACTAATTTTTAATCCCTCTACCTAAGTCCTTGACCCCATCTGGCCTGCTACAGACCCTTATTCCATCAATCATCTGCTCTCATGCATTTCTCCTTCTGTGCTGTTTCCCTCCCATCTGTCCACAAATGTGCTTAGGTCTTCTGAATTCTTTTTTTTTAAATTTTTATTAATTTATTTTGATTTATCAACAATCACTTCCATAAGCTTTTGAGTTTTAAATTTTTCTCCCTCTCTCTCCCCACCTCCCTCCCCAAGACGGCATGCAGTCTGATATAGGCTCTACATATACATTCCTATTAAAACATATTTTCACATTAGTGATGTTGTAAGGAGGAATTAGAACCAATAGGAGGAACCACAAGAAAGAGAAAATAAAACAAAACAGAAGAAAAAAATAGCAAATAGTATGCTTCGATCTACATTCAGACTCCATAGTTCTTTCTTTGGATGTGGATAGCATTTTCCATCATGAGGCCTTTGGAGATGTCTTAGATCCTTGCATTGCTGAGAAGGGTTAAGGCTATCAACGTTAGTCATCACACAACATGGCTGTTACTGTGTACAATGTTCTCCTTGCTCTGCTCACTTCACTTAGCATCAGTCCATACAAGTCTTTCCATGTTTTTCTGAAGTCTGCATGTTCATCATTCTTATAGCAAAATAGTATTCCATTACATTCATAAAAAAAAAGTCTTCCCTTAACCCCATTCAAGTGTCGTCTCATCTCTCACCCATCATGGACAATTTTTGGAAATGTATTTTATATTTAGTAATTCTACTTCTTAATTATCTACCTTCACTTCAACCCTTTGTTATATGGTTATTAAATGTTATATGGTTTCCATCCTAACAACATTATTGATTGCCCTTTCAAAACTCTGTAGTGATCTCCTAATTGCCAGGTTCAGTCACCTTTCTGAAGTACTTGTCACAGTTGACCCCATCTTCATACTGTTTACTGCATCATCCTGTGGTTCCCATTCTGTTGAAGCTATTTTGGGGGGACTTAGAAATTGCCACTGAAGCACACCAGCCATGCCAAAAGCCTTTAGTTATGAGCACATTTTACCTCATACAAGGGAAAGGGATTAAATTTGGACATCGGTCAGAAGTGAGAGTTGAAGAATGGGAAGAACATGAGGAAGAAATCAAGGGAAGAATGAGGTTGAAGAGTGATAAGCAAATGGGCTGGGTTTTACATAGGAAAGGAAAGTGGTCCTCCTCAGGTACTGTTGATTGGTTTCCTATGCCTTAAGGCAGCTAGGTGGCATAGTGGACACAAAGCTTGGCCTTGAGTCAGGAGGGACCCAAGTTCAAATCTGTCCTCAACACTGTGTCACCTCTGGGCAAGTCACTTAACCTCTGCCTCAGTTTCTTTGTCTCTAAAATGGGGATAATAATAGCACCTGCTTCGAGGATTGTGTGAGGATCAAATGCATTAATATTTGTAAAGCACTTAGCACTTGTAACAGATACATAGTAGGAACTTAATAAATGCTTATTTCCTTCCTTCCTGTGCTTGATGTCATGGGCAGGGGAGGAACCACTTAGCAACGTTGTATAATGGATGGAAGTTTACAGCAGAGAACATTCCAGATAAGAAAAGAGATGGGACACAACAGGAGTACCAGAGAGGAGGATTGGAGGCATCTTTAGAGCACAGGCAACCTGTTAGAGAAAGACCAGTCCTGAAAAGCCAGAGCCTTGTTTCAGAGACAGTGTGCTCTCCTGTTTCTACCTAGCCTGCTATCCATTCTTTCTCTGCCCTTCACTGTCTCCTCATCTTCCTCTTAATTATTTAATACGGGTCATCCCAACAGTTCTGTCCTTAGCCTTCTTTTCTTTCCTCCCATGGTCTCTCCTGTAGCAATTTCATGCACTCCCATGGCTTCAACTAGTACTTACACACTGCTAACTCCCAAATCTGTATGCTAGATTTGGAATGGCTTATGAGCTTTAGAGATTTGCCTAACATCTTCACCTAGATGTCACCTCAAACTCAACATGTCCATAAATTATTATCTTTCCTATAAAACCTACTTCTTATTTTGGCAACTTTCCTTTCAGTCTCTGATGTTTGAAACACTGATATTATCTTAGACTCTTGGTTTTCCCTTACCTCTCCTATCCACTCATTTTCCAATTACTGTTGGATCTCCAAAACATCCCACCAATCTATTTCTTTTCTCTCTATTATTCGCACTGCCATCATGCAGTACAGGGCCTCATTACCTATTACGGTGGTCTCCTAAAAGGTCTTCCTGCCTCAATTCTCTCCTACCTGTATCAGTTCTATGCAGGTGATCCTTAAATATTCATATTCAGTCCCCGTCTCCCCCTGAACTTCAATCTTGTATCACCAATTGTTCATTGGGTATTTCAAACTGGACGCCTCAGAGACATATTGGTGGTGGTACACACCTGTAATCCTTGCTACTATAAGAAGCTGAGGCTGGTGGATGGCTTCAGTTCAGGGGTTCTGAGATGTAGTAGGCCTAAAGATGATCAGGTGAACACACTAAGTCCAGCAATAATATGGTGAAGCCCTGACAGCTGGGGGCCACCAGGCTGCCTAAAGTAGAGTGAACCAGCCCAGGTCCAAAAAACAGGGCAGTTTAAAGCTTCTGTACTGAATAGCACTAGAATTGGCCCTGTGAGTGACCACTGCATGTCCAGCCTGGGACACCTAGCCTCCAAATAAATAAATGAAGGAAGGAGTAAATGAAACAAGTCTCATTCAACAAGTCTAAAATTGCACTCATTATCTTTCCTCCTTAACTCTTCCCCTCTTTCAAACTTCTCTATTTCTTTCAAAGGTTTCACTGTGCTTCCAGTGTTTCAGATATCTCACCATTATCCTCAACTCATTGCTGTTCAACACTCCAGTCAGTTGCCAAATCTTGTTTTTTTCTATTTCTTGCTTCTAAATCCTCTCCATTCACAATAGCTACCATTTTAGTGCAGGCCTTCATCAACCTTCACCTAGATTATTGCAACAGTCTCTTGCTTGATCTCCCAGCCTCAAAATTCTCACCACTCCAGTCCATTCTGCACCCTACTGCCAAAATAATTTTCCTTAAGTGAGAATTTGACCATGTGACTCCCCTACTCAACCAATTCCAGTGGCTTTCTGTTGCCTTTAGGATAAAATGAAAACCTCCTCTCTTTTATCTTTTAAAATAAATGAATGAATATATATGTGTATATATATATATATGTATGTATATATGTGTATATATATACATATACATTCATTTATTTATTTTTAGTTTTCAACATTCACCTTTATAAGATTGTAAATTTTAAATTTTCTCTGGCATGCGATCTGATATAGGCCATATATGTACAATAATATTAAACATATTTCCATATCAGTTATGTTGTAAAGAAGAATTAGAACCAAAGGGAAAAACCTCAAGAAAGAAAAAAAAGGGGGAGGGGAATAGTATGCTTCGATCTGCATTCAGATTCTGTAGTTCTTTCTCTGGATGTGGATAGCATTTTCCATCATGAGTTTTTTGAAATTGTCTTAGATCATTGCATTGGTGAGAAGAGCTTAAGTCTATCAAAGTTGGTCATCGCACAGTGTTGCTGTTACTGTGTACAATGTTTTCCTGGTTCTGCTTGCTTCACTCAGCATCAGTTCATGCAAGTCTTTCCAGATTTTCCTGAAGTCCTCCTACTCATCATTTCTTAT